TCTCGGGTTGGAGTGCACCTCGTAGTTTGGGAAGTTAAGATGGTTAATCGGTGCAGACTCTGAGATTTTTGTCTCCGCCAAGAAAAGCACGGCGGGACGATTGGATTGCAGGTAGTGATGAACAGCATCAATGTTGCTGTTAATCCCGCAGATGTTCTAAAAACAAATTTTATCTTCGATATTGTTCCCTCGAGTCCATCCTCCACCCGGACATTCCGAGAGTAGAATGAGTTTACGTCCGTAATTCTTATTACTCGAGGGATCCATTATCATTAATTTCTTTGTTGGGGAAGATAACCGACTGCGTAGCTTAGGTATGGAAACATGGGGACATTTATAAGACACCCTGCGAAAAGCTAGTGGGTGCTAGCGCCTTGGTCGACTGGTCCTTGTCTACCACCTTTTTCAGTTATACTAACCTTAGGTAGTTTAAAAACGAGATTAACAAAGTTTCTTTAAGCTTTTCATAGCAGCCGCAGTGCCCTAACATTTAGGCTTCTGCCTGCGTGGCAACTTCGGTGTAAAAACAATTTAGATTTAAGACTGTATAAGTAAAACTACTTGTACGTTTATACATGAATGTCTGTGACAGGCCTAGTTGTTTATATTTGGCCACGAGATAAAAAAACAAGCCCAAACTTGACAGTGCTTTTCAAAAAAAAAAGTAATAAAGTACCTAAAAGGAGCTTCAAAGTCAGATATCACACGACCCCACATTCCATTCAAAGAAATGGTCCAAAACGGCACCCAGCCTCCATCTCGAAATTTTCAACTGACATCTTGACTCTACAATATCCATGCATCATTTCATTACTCCAAATGTCAGCTTGCTAACTTACCCGTGCAAATATAGTATGGGGACATATTTGAAAAGCACTGTATTTGTATGGTTTAAAAACACTTTCCAGTCTTATTCCTATAACGATGGTTTCACTACAATTTGTAAAGTTCTCTAATTAAAGAGAAATTTACAAATTATATTGTATATTAATACAGACTTCACATTGCCTGATTTTATCTTAAGGAACCATCCTATATTATATGATTCATGGATACATTTGGACAAACAAATAATCGTAACCAAAATCCTATCTCATTTTCACTTTATTTGCGTTTATGGCTCTTGTAACAAATTATATCGAAATTTCTATAATAACCATACCTTCTGTTTATCTTTACTAATTACTTCTTGTTTTTCTTTGCTCTCTTTCCACTCCCACTACACTACCACAACTGGCAGAAGGTAAATAATATTTTAATGGAAATAACATTGCATGCTATTAGGATTTTTTGTATGTTGTGTATTTCTATACCCCGGTCATCATTCATAAAAGCTTATTACCATTTAACAGGCTGTATATCACTCATCATACCTCTAGTGTACAGGATGTTATTTAAGTACGTGGCCAAACTTCAATAGGTGATTCTTTGAGTAATTTTAAAATGAAAAGTTTATACAAACATAGGTCCAGAAATGCTTCATTTTTAAGATACATTGTGTCAAACGCACAGGTCCACAGTCATGGCCACCCAGGTCAACGGATTTAAATCCGTTAGATTTTTTTCTTTTGGGTGCATTTAAAGTCCCTCGTTTACAAAAGTTCCGTTAACACTGAAGGAGGACTAACCCAACAGATAGGAGGTTCATGTGATCAGATAAGACATTCGCCGGGAATATTTCAACGAGTTCGGCAGTCAATGTTAAAACAAGCTAATGCTTGCATTGAGGTTGAAGGAGGGCATTTTCAGCAACTATCATAAGTCTCGTGTTATTTACTGTTAAATGTTTTCATTTGAATAAAAGTTTAAGTTTGGTTTTAAAGACGTTTTACCGTTTCGTTATGTAAATATTTGATGTTTATTTGTCGTATCGAAAGCGGGTATAACCTGAGCGAAAAAAATTAAAAGACGACTTTCGCGTAACTTGCAATAAATTGCTTTTTATTTGTTTATCTCGCAAACGAAGCGGGGTAATTTGAAATAAACTGAGGAGACAAAAAGTTGACTTTTTAGCTTCTTAATTCGAAAAACATTGAATAATTGAAAAAAGTCAGTGGCGCACAAATTTTTGTCAAAGATATTGGTTAGGGTGTTTTCCGGGACGCCACTGGACTTATTAATTTCAACCTAATTGGGGATAGATTAGCCCCTTACTGCCCTTAATACCACTGAAAGTTTATTGAGATATTTAGGAAAAAACCGATTTTTAAAAAAAGGTTGAAAATACAGGGTATTTTGAAAATGTAGCATTTCTGGACCTACATTTATATAAACTTTTCATCTTAAAGAAATTACTCAAAGAATCACCTACTGAAGTTTGACCACGTACTTAAATAACACCCTGTAGTATACATACATACATCTCTTTCTCATAATAAATATTTTTACACGTATTCACTTTGTCAATAAAACACAGTATGACAAATATCCATCAAAGGTAATTTCCACATTCTCTAATAAAGTTCGGTAAATCACACAGGCCGACAAAAGTAGCCGACCCTTTTGCCTAGACTCCAGAGTATACTTTCCCGAAAGTTTGTGATGCACTGAATCCGAATCCGTGAATCTTGAAATCTCTTGATTGCCTCTAGTTTCCGAGACATCCTAACCTAAAAATGCAAAAATAGCCATCTTTGCCTACTTTTGAGGTTAATGTTAATTATTATTTTTTAACCATTAAATCATGTCCAATCGAATGATTTAGACTATTTAGAGTCTAAAAATACATGGTACCTCTATGTCCACGGAAAATGGGAACGCCCTGAATATTTGAAACATGGCTCTATTGGGGTATCAAAAGTGTTATATGATCTGGGCTCCTAAAATAAAGCGTAAGGAGTTTTTCTTTCATATTGATTCTGCTCATACTGTGTTGTTTTGCATGTATCAACACGTGCTGAATCAATTATTATTTTTTAACCATTAAATCATGTCGAATCGAATGATTTAGAGTCTAAAAATACGTGGTACCTCTATGTCCACCGAAAATTGGAACGTCCTGAATATTTGAAACATGGCTCTATTGGGGTATCAAAAGTGTTATATGATCTGGGCTCCTAAAATAAAGCGTAGGGAGTTTTTCTTTCATATTGATTCTGCTTATACTGTGTTGATTTGCATGTATCAACACGTGCTGAATCAATTATTATTTTTTAACCATTAAATCATGTCGAATCGAATGATTTAGAGTCTAAAAATACGTGGTACCTCTATATCCACGGAAAATTGGAACGCCCTGAATATTTGAAACATGGCTCTATGGGGGTATCAAAGTGTTGTATGATCTGGGCTTCTAAAATAAAGCATAGGGAGTTTTTCTTTCATATTGATTCTGCTTCTACTGTGTTGATTTGCATGTATCAACACGTGCTGAAACAATTATTATTTTTTAACCATTAAATCATGTCGAATCGAATGATTAAGGCCCGTATCGTCAGTCGTCCCTACAATTGTAGGGCGCGTTTATGGCCTCCTTGATTGTCATACTCCTTTCTCTCCTTCAAAAATTTCTAGATTACACTTATCCCGTGTCAGCGTCAACGCTCTCCTATTGTAAAGATATGTTTTATTTTTAAATTGTAGGAAATTTCAGGCTGATAAAACATGATACAACTCAAAAGCAAGCACAATTTGATGCAAATAGATGTTTGTGACATAACCTGAAAATAGAGCGCTGACACGGAAAAGTAGAAAACTATGACAATCAAGGAGGCCATAAAGGCGCCCTACAATTGTAGGGACGACTGACGATACGGGCCTTAGAGTCTAAAAATACGTGGTACCTCTATGTCCACGTAAAATTGGAACGCCCTGAATATTTGAAACATGGCTCTATTGGAGTATCAAAAGTGTTATATGATCTAGGCTCCTAAAACACGTGCTGAATCAATTATTATTTTTTAACCATTAAATCATGTCGAATCGAATGGTTTAGACTCTAAAATACGTGGTACCTCTATGTCCATGGAAAATTGGAACGCCCTGAATATTTGAAACATGGCTGGCTCTATTTGGGTATCAAAAGTGTTATATGATCTGGGCTCCTTAAATTAAGCGTAGGGAGTTTTTCTTTCATATTGATTCTGCTTATACTGTGTGGATTTGCATGTATCAACACGTGCTGAATCAAGTTTGTCATTTGATTTTTCCTTCAATAACCCCCATGCAATGTCCCAAAAATTCACTAAACTATTACATAATTTTTAACCGATAATGTTCTCGTTACACAATGTTAACGCCTCTGTTTATACTGTGTTGATTCACATGAGGTGTTTCCAAAACATGAGGCAAAAATTCAAGAGGTGAATATTAGGATTATTCTAAGACTCTATTGTCTTTTTTCGGCGCTACAGACCCCTAAAGGAAACCACTGCAAATCGCTGTTTGTCGAGGTCGTTGGAACAGTTGCGAAAAAATTCTGCTATAAGTTATGTAGGGGTGGCGGTTAATTTCTCGAACCTTTTCGGGATTTTTATAAACGTCAAATATTAGGACGTCTAGCAAACCACGTATTCCAAATTTCATTCAAAAGGACTATCGATTCCAAAAGTATCTTAAAAAGAAAGCTTTGACGTCCTCAAGTTATTTAAAAAAACCTGATTTCCAGTGACGCCATTAGGGACGTGTATCTGCGATACAATCGAAGCGACATTTCGAAAATCATCAGAGGACAAAGCAGAGTTAAAATAGAATAGTTCAAAGAACCAAGTTTTGCATTTTTGCCCCTTGCTACTAAAACACCCCAGTTATGAATAGGGTGGCCAACTAAGATTGCGAGATACTGTATCTGGAAACCTATCCATCGTAGAGGCTTGCGACAAAAAAGTTATTACTAAACCAGCCAAGAGAAAAACCTGGAAAATATTTTCAAGTTTCTGGAATGGCCGCTACGGGGCCTACGATGGATAGGTTCCCAGACACAGTACCTCGCATTCTTAGTTGGCCACCCTATACATCAAATGTTATTCGTGCAATATGATAAATTTGACTGTACTCTTTGTTAGGAGGCAAGCAATCCACCGAAAGGCGGTCACCAGCTGCGTCCTTCAGAGCCGCAGAAAAAAACAACCAGCTGGTTGTCAAGATGCACCATACTCTGACCGCCATCTTGGTACTAACGATGGGACTAACATCACCGTCTTATGCCCCCAAAAACTCATATTTGACTTTTTGTATCAGACGCCTAATTATTATGTGTATGTCAACAGATTTTTCATGTATATTTTTGTTTGATATTCTTGACATATCTTCAGCGCAGGAATCTATACATTCTCATTGATTTTCATTGATTAATCTTGGGGGTACTACGAATAGAGTAAGATCCAATTTTACAGAGTTCCCATGTCCTAGCCGTAATAACGTTAGTATTTTTTAAATAAAATGTATTATTTACTAATCATAAATTTGTTATTACGGCAATGGGGTCTGAGAACAGGGTCGGTTAATGTACTACTTAAAGAGAAAACGACCCATTATAATTTGTTTCTATACATCTGAATTATTCGAACCTGTATTGCTATCCTGCTCTATATGTACGTGGTATCTCTATTTTAGTGACGTCTGTGGGAGAAATTCGTTAGAGCAATTTTCTCATTGAGGGAAAACCCAAACACTATTGGGTCCATTCTTGAAAACAAAGGAGCAGAATAACCAGTAGAAACTATTCGGTTATCTTTATGACAGCTTTTGACGTCTGTTTTGGTGCTTATCGATTATATATATTATTCGATTGTACCACTTTAGACTATGCATACTGGTATGCACATATACAGTTCAAATTATTTGGGAAACGTTATGATCTTTGTACTTTTTACCGTTCACCAAACAGTGATGCAGATACATTTTTAACGTTTTTTGAAGAAAAATGCGAAGAAATGTGGAATTTTAGAAACAATATAATACTTTTAGGTGATTTTAATTTAAATTATTATGGTAAAAGCATGAAAACAAGAAAATTGAAAGAAACCATAAATAACTATGGGTTCAAGCAAAAAATTGAAGAGAGTACCAGAATAACATCATTATCAGAGACTTTGTTAGATCTTGTTATTGTAAATTTCGAATGTGCAGGGATTAAAGCTGTACATACACCTAAAGTTAGCGATCACAGTTGGACAATGCTGCCCTTAGTAGGGCATTTTTATGATACAAAAATTAAGAAAATCGTAAATACTATTAAGTACGAAAAACTTGAACGAGAACTTGCTGGCTGCTATTGGAATTTTGGTGAGAATATGGAAAAAATATATGACAACATAATAGGAAATATAAAAACTTGTTTAGATCTTGCAACTGATAAAAAACTGATTTGCTCGACAAAAAATACACCCTGGTATAACAAGAATATTAAGGTAGCTCAAAATTTGAGAGACAAACAATACAATAAATGTATATTCACAAAATCAAATGATGATTGGGAGGTATATAAAACTCTTAGGAATAAATGTGTATATGTAATTAGAGAAGAAAAAAGAAAATTCTACGATAAACAAATCGATAATAACAAGTGCGACAGTGTAAAGATGTGGAAGACTTTAAAAAGACTGATCAATTCGAAGCCGCATGATTGTGTAAATCAAGTTCAATTCGAAAACGGTACCGAAACAAATTCTTTGGTGATTGCAAACAAACTAAATGAATATTTTGTGGAAAGTATTGTTGATATTGTAGGTACTGCCAATGCTGCACCTGACTATATGAAAATCAGTTTCCAGGGGGAAATGTTGCATACACTTTCAAAATTTCACAGCGTATCATTGAATTATCTAAGAAAAAAAGTAAACAGTTTAAAATCAAATAACAACTGTGCCGAAATGATTACTAAAAACGTGCTGAAAAACTGTTTCGAAATTTTGGGATATCCTGTATTAAATTGGATCAATTGTTCACTGAGAAGCAGTTCTTTTCCTGAAAATTTGAAATGCTCTACAATAACACCAGTTCCCAAGATAAAAAATTCTAAAAGATGCAGCGATATGAGACCAGTAAATGTGTTACCAGACATTGAAAAATTATTAGAGTCCATAGTGCATGACCAATTAATGCAGTTTATAGAAGAAAACAAAATTTTAGTGGAGGCGCAAGCAGGCTTTCGAAAAAAATATTCCACAGAAACAGCTTTCCAGTTGGTAACTGAGAATTGGAGAAGAGCCATAGACTCAGAAGAAGTTGTCATAGCAGTATTTTTGGATTTGAAGAGGGCATTTGAAACGATTGATAGAGATATTTTGTTAGGTAAATTGAAGGCATATGGTATAACAGGAAGTGTTTTAGATTGGTTTGGAAATTATTTGTCTAAAAGGATGCAAGTTACAAAAGTTAATGACACTATTTCATCAAAAATTGAAAATACGTTGGGTGTTCCACAGGGCAGTATCCTGGGACCACTTCTTTTTATTTTATACATAAATGATTTACCTGCCATAGTCAAAAAATGCAAAATTCAAATTTTCGCCGATGACACTATGATTTATATAAGTACTAAAAATATTCAGTCTGGTATCTCTTATATAAATGAAGACCTGAAGCTTGTCTCAAAATGGTTAGCATCTAACAGACTAAAATTAAATGCAAGTAAAACGAAAGCCTTGTTAATCGGAAAAAAACAATGTACAAATGTTCAACTGAATATTGATGGTGAAGATATTGAATTCGTAGAAAATTTTAAATACCTGGGAGTTTTTGTTGACTCTCGATTAATTTTTGATATTCATTATGAAAAAGTTATAAATAAGATTAGTAGTAAAGTGGGATATTTATCGAGAGTTTCTGGATGTCTGAGTTCATATAGCAGAAAAATTATCTATAATACCATCATTCTTCCAAATTTCTTGTACTGTTCGACTATTCTATATTTAGCAAATAATTCCATTTTTGAAAGACTGCAAATTTTACAAAATAAGTGCATGAGAATAATACTAAATAAAGATAAATATACTCCAATTAGGCAAATGCTTAGCAAATTAAAATGGCTCAATGTAAAAAATTTTATCAAATATCTTGTAATGATATTCATTTATAAAGTAAAAAATAATATATTTCCATCAAGTCTAACTAATTTAACATCATCAAATGTCGACCATCATTTACATAATACCAGAAATAAAGATGACTTCCATTTAATGACCAAAAAGTATAACATATGCTACAAATCTGTATTCCATCAAGGGTTGATTGAATATAATAAATTATACTCGGAGATAAAAGACCAGAAAACTTTGACAAAATTTAAAGTAAAATTGAGAAATCACTTGTTAAATCTACAATTATAGGTTGCCCAGCATTTACATCATACACCATATGGCTTGAATTTACTAGTTCTAAGTTGTTTACAATTGTTCTGTTTATGTAGCCAAATGTGCTAAATAAATCTTTCTACTACTACTACTACTTATCAAATAAATTTGCGAATACATCCGTTTCCAAAAAAATAATCGCAAAGTTAACTTTGTGTTTAGAGATGAAGCTGATATAAATAATGAAGTACCCTGAAAGGTAATAAAACCATCTCCAATTTGTATCAGTTATTCTACTCCTTCAGTTTTAAGAATCGTCCCTCATATCGCCTACAAGTTCAGAGTTATTTTAACAACTTAGTGAGGATTATTTTGGATTTGATCATAACTCCTCATAAGAAGTACACTCAAGATGTTGCGATTTATGTTTAAAGGAAATATTATTGTTAAATTGGATCTACGATTGATGATACAGAAAATTCATACTTCCAAATGAATTAACTTCTATATAAGTGAGAAAGAACAATATAAAAGAAATATCGCAAGGTTTTCAGAACAATGAAATAAAGAAATTCAAGTTTACAATATAGAAGAAGAGCAATTTCATAGGAATGTGGAAGATCAGTCACTTGAAAGGAAATAGCTTGCTTAAATGCTTTCCAAATAAATTAACTTCTCTATAAGTGAGAAAGAGAAATATCAAAGAAATGTCTATTGCAAGTGTTTCACACCAAAGACATGAACAAATTTATTTTTAGATAAGGAGAGCAATTGTATACGATTTAGAAAAAAAATTAGTGCTGTAATGTATTTATACATTGCTTTCCAAAAAGGACTCCCTTCTTATTCATTTGAACGGATTCAACTAACCAGCTGAAATTCGAGATGAAATTGAATTGAATACTAAAAATGGCAGTTGAAAATTTCAACCTCCACATGCAACCTTTATTATTATTCATTCATAAATTTACTATCTTTCGAGAAATGGCGAATTAGCAGACTGTCAAGTCATTGAATCGCTGATAACTCAGCAACAAATCATCCAAACGCTGTATGTGATATCAATCTTCTTCATTTGGAAAGATATATCAGAATAATAATGTAACAAAATATGTAACATTTCATTTAAAAAAAGTTCAGAATCAACCAACTTTTTCAAAACTGAATGTACAATATTTTATTTACATTCAAATCAATCGTTCCAAATGAAGATTGATATACAAGGTCTATCGCAAAGTAAACAGGACAAAGAAAAAAGTTAACAAACACTTTTTGTTTCGAAAATCGAATTTATTTTATTAAGAATAGTCTCCTTCAGAGTTAAGAGAGCGATTTGCACGGGCCAAAAGGTTTTCGAATGATGATTTTAGCTCATTGGCCGGGTTGTCCTTCAAAATGGTCGTCAACGCCTTTTGGATGGCCGTTACGTTGGCATATCGCCCTTCATTGCGAAATGTAGTTTACCGAACAGAAAATAGTCACACGGTGCCATATCGGAAGAATATGGGGAGTGGTTGATGGTCATAATGCCATTTTTTGTCGAAAAATCGGACACAAACGTCGATCGATCAGATGGTGCATTATCGTGCAACACTTAACTTAATATTGGCTCTTTGTTCGATGCTCATTTTTCGAGCGATGCTAAAAAGGTACTATCACTTTGAGCGCGATAACTCCGCGTGAAGCGGTTCGATTGACATGAAATTTTGATAGGGCCTCAATGAAAGATGTACCTATCCAACGCTAGTCTCCGATAATAGATCGCGCTACTTATATCGGATATCTTTCAAAAGTCCTGTTTACTTTTCGCCACTATTTGATTGAGTTATAAGTAATTCAGTGTACAAGAAAGCTCACCTTTGACAGCCTGCCAATCCGTTGTTTTGAAATATAGTAAATTCATAACTACTGGTAAGCAGCTTCAAAATGAAATATCAGATGTTCCAATATGTCCAGCATTGGTTTCGTCACTCCGAATTTCAACTTGCTAACTTTTAAAAAAGTCTATGTTTTTTCATGAAAGGAATATCAGCATTAAGTAGAAAGCAGGACAAACAATGTTGGAGGTTCCTTGTCTTGACAAATAATACTAATTTTAGGTGTTATACTTGATTATTCAATATGACTAACTTTATTACGATGAATGGATACACTGATAAATTAAGCAGTTCTGTATACTTGCAATTTTAAATTGTAACCCTAGACAAATGGATCTCAAAATAAAAATATGTATTATTACAATAAACAATGTTTTGTTAGTGAATCGGTAAATGTTTGACAAACCAACTTAGTGTATAACTAAGGAATCCTGCAGACGTCATATTTCAAGATTTTGTGGTAACAGCTTGACTGGCGATTATTATGTTTATGTTAGTATTAAAATTTGTTAAAAAGAGGCTGTTTTTAATAAACAGACACATTAGCCTCGTTGATGAATACTTAATATGTGATTAAGGGTAAGTTTTTTACCGTTTTGTATTTATAGGTATATTTATATTTCTGCACATTTTCGTAAAAAAATACATATATGAATGCAAAAAGTAGAAAAAAAAAATAACTGTAATTACGAAACAGTGTAGTAGTTTCTTAGCTGAATATATTTGAATTGATGCTTTATCACGGTTTCGGTTTTTAGTGTCGATCATTTCGAACCACCGACGATATATAGAGGATAGACACTGCCGTTCTTTCATGAATATACATTTGTTTACGAGCCCTAACACAAAATAGTT